CAAATATATATGTTTAAAATACGGTATTAAATAGTCTAGAGAGGTAATAGGTCCTCATGAAAATTTAGTATCGCAACAACAAATTCGATTAAAGTTGAAGTATTTTTCAGACCATTATCCCTAAATAATTTGATGAAGTTATCATGTTTTTTCTTGCATTCATTTGTTTAGTGTTAATACCAACTAAGTTTTATATATTTTAAAAAATATTTTCTTTTCTATTATTAAATATTTCTTAACCGCTCATCCTCCCCATTAAAATAGACAAAATGGTACTACTAACAAGTGATATTTTAAACTTAATTGATTATAATCCTTAATCCCAATCTTATCTTTAATTGATTACTATCACTTAAAGCTCAAGACAAGATTTAAAAAAATTGTGGCGCAATAAATGACCTAACTTGAATTTGCAATATTTTGAAGAAAAAACCATAAGAGGAAAAAGAAAAGAAAGGATTACCCTCTGATGTCATATTTATATATCTCAAATTACTTATAGATTTATAAATCAAGTTGAATTAATTCTTTAACTTTAAAAAAAAAAATGCTTTTCATGGTTAATTTTACAATCGAGAGATAACGCACATAAATAGAAGATACAACAATTATAACATTCACAGTAAAATCTACGATTGAGATCTGAAGAAGATAAAATAGTCACCTCATAAAAATAGAAAAATATTTTCAAAAAGCCTTCAATTCAAATGAAAAAGAAGCATAAATAATATTTTATTTATAATTTTTAAGATTGTGTAAAATAGAGAGTGTCCAAGTAAAATAGTAGGAGGGCATCTTTGTAAAAAGAAAAAAATAATTGGGACCCACCTACCGACACGTGCCTATCCAAGCTGTGCACATGATTTCACCCCCCACCCCCTACCCACTCACCACGCCCAAAAATTAATTAAATTATTAACAAATCTGGCGGAGTAAAAATTCAAAAAAATTTAAAACCCCTGAATAAATCTCTCTCTCCTCTCTCTCTCTTATTCACACACACATACACATAGTAACGTTCCTAATTTCCCCATTTTCCTCTCTCTCTCCTTCTCTATCTATCGTAGCTCCCAAGTCCCAACAAACACTCACTGCAAGCAAAAAAGCAGAGAGTAGTAGATTCAAAGGAAGCACAAAGCCCACCCTTACAAAAAAGCAACAAAAAAATACCTTCTAATTCAGTCCTTATTAGATCTCTTAATTTATTCCTTTCCATTGACAGAAGCTGAGGTGAAGAGACTTGAGCTAGAAAAAAAAAACCAAGAAGAAGATTTTGTTTCTAGGTTTTGATTTTTTTTTTTTTTTGTAGCATTTGTGGTTAGCACAAGAAGGAAAAGTATGGAGAAAAGCACTCCAGTTCGAAAATCACACACTAACACTGCAGATCTGCTCACTTGGTCGGAAAATCCGCCGGAAAATTCCCCGGCAATCGGTTCTGCTGCTTCCGCTGCCCGGTCTCGTCAGGTGAGAATGATTGTTCTGAAAAAAATTAGAATATTTTTTTTTACGCCTTTTTTGATTTTTTTTTTTCTGGAGAAATGGCAGCCATCCGATGGGATCCAAAAGGTGGTATTTGGTGGTCAAGTGACTGATGAAGAAGTTGAGAGTTTGAACAAGAGGTGAATGATTCAGCTTTTGCGATTTTGATTTATTAGTGTTTGTCTTTTCTGTTTTTTGATGTATGTATATTTTTTTATTTTGTTTATTTATCTGAGCATACGAGAGGACATTAAATGCTTCAATGAGCAATCATAGTACGGAGAATTTGTTTGATTGTTATTTTTTTTGTTTGTTTTCCTCTTATGTTTTGGCTTTATTCTTCACGGTTTCAACAATGCATTTTTCTCTGTTATTTTTTGTTCCTTTCTGGTCCTGCTATTAATTATTTTTACAAGTTTCAAATCAAATAGATTTGATTTAAAATGATTTGTATAGTCGATCCTAGCTAGTCTTGAATGAAGTGTTGTAGTAGTTGTATAAATTTGACAAACAATTTCGTTCATGCATTCAGATCTGCAGTCAACAGTCTGTGTGCTGCGATTGCTAAAAGTCCATTTCCAGCATCTTATCGATAAATCCTTATTTCCATAGTTTGTTATTCAGATAAGACACTAAGCCATATACTATTAGACAACCAAATAGATATTTGATTGTGTTAGTCATGGTAGTTTGTCCTACGAAAGGTATTTTTCGCCAATGTCCTTTGCAGAGGTCCTCCAAGAACTACTTTTTTCCTGCTTCCATATTATATTTGGATCATGATTTATGTTCTTTGTCGTGCTGTTGTATAATCATGGTGTCTTGATGTGTCCTGCTATATTTGAGTAACGAATTATTGGAATGCTGCAACTTGTTATTTGTTACTTAAGTTGTATTCTATAAGCTGAAACTGTTTGGCACTGTCTCAGGAAACCGTGTTCCGGTTATAAACTAAAGGAGATGACAGGTAGTGGTATTTTTGTAGCTGATGGAGAAAATGGCAATTTAGAATCTGACAGTGCTAATCCCATCCCAAATAGAAGGATGTATCAGGTACACTTCCCAGTTTATGGTATCTAAGTATTTATCAATTCATCATTAATGGTCTTCGCAGCCTATGTACATATCTCACCAAATAATCATCTATGGACTCCATATGGTCTATATAACCTCACGACGGGACTCTTACACGTGCCTTTTGTCCCCAGCAAGCTGTATCTGGTATAAGTCAAATTTCGTTTGGTGATGAAGACACCGTGTCTCCAAAGAAGCCAGTCACTATCCCTGAAGTGGCAAAACAGAGGGAACTAAGTGGAACTCTAGAAAGTGAGTCTGAGATGAAGTTGAAGAAACAAATTTCTGATGCAAAGACCAAGGAGCTTGTCGGACATGACATCTTTGCTCCCCCACCTGAAATTCAACCTCGTCCATCTACTGCTCGTGCATTAGCATTAAGAGAAAGCATTACCATTGGAGAACCTGCACCAACTAATGTATGTACATCTATCAATTTCTTTATGTTCGCTCTATAAACTGCATAATCCCACATTCTGTTTACCCAATACTTCTTAGAGTAGCTATTGCAGCTGAAGTAGAACAGTTGAAATAGGAAAAGATCTGCAGGATTCAGATCCCGTCCAGTAGAACTATTCTTAGTGTTAGTGGACTATCTGAATGGTTCCACTTCCACAAGAAACTGTTGGTTACCTCGTTTGTCTTCAAACTTATAATTAGAGAGAGTATCAGTGCATGTTATCAGGCTTTCTCTAAGAAATGTTGGCATAACTATGCTTATCCTGAGGATGGGTGAAGCGAGCAGTTTCGTGCTCCTACACTAATTGTTAATTCAATGTATAGTCTTGCTTAACATCTCTCGTATGATTTCTGATTCCTTCCACCATTTATCAGCAAAATATGTTCAGCCTCATTTTTGTTCTTTTATCTTTTCTTGGTCTTTTGTCAGGGTGATTCGTCTGGTGACGAACAAGTGGTCAAGACAGCCAAGAAGATTCCTGAAAAGAAACTTGCAGAGCTCACAGGAAATGACATTTTCAAGGGCGATAATCCTCCAGCATCAGCTGAGAAGCAGCTGAGTTCAGCAAAGTTGCGAGAAATGAGTGGAAGCAATATATTCGCAGATGGGAAAGTAGAATCTCGAGACTTCTATGGCGGGGTTCGCAAGCCTCCAGGTGGTGAGAGCAGCATTGCATTGGTGTAACTTGCTAGGTCTAACTCAATTTACATCATTAATTGTGTTTCCCTTTTTTATCCATTATTTGTAGTTGGGGTTTGGTTCTGATGTGATTTGATCAGTGTTCTGGAATTTATGTCCCTAGGATCGATCTTATTTGACATGTCAACCAGAACTAAGAACTTTTGGCTAATTGGGTTGTATGTTGTTCATAAATCTCTGTTTCTGGTGGTCTTTGTTTTCGTGATAATGTGTCATCTGAGTTCCATTAATTAATTAAATAGTATTTGTGTCCTTTATATTTTCTGGGTTTTGCTGTTTGGACTCACACTTATCTTAAAGTTAAAAAAAAATTTAACCATTACGTATGTATACATTTTGGTTCTAAAATTTAGTAGGCTTTTGGACATAAATTTGTGCATCGAATTGTCCTTTTTTCAATAAGTTGTGTTAAATGTATGCTCGCTAGACGCTTGTATGGATTATCCAAGAAATCTTTGTACTACGACAAATTTAAAGAAAATAAATGCGAATAGACAATTGGTGAAAGCGACATCGTTGAGACAAAATTCTTCACTTGGAAAATATTTTGATGTAATCTTAGGGGCCGTTTGGTGATTTGATGGAATAAACAAATATTTTGTGGTTGGAAACATATAATGCTTTTCTTATTTTATGACATTATAGTTATTGTAAACGTATAATTTCTAATTTAAATTTGCTCTTAATCTAAGTTCTCTTTTTATCGATGCACTTTGTGATGTTTTTGATGGGTCAAGTGATGAGAGGATGAATATTAGAGTTAGGGTTAACGGTTGGGTGAATGAGTTATATTAAGTAAAATATTAAATAGGAAGTAAACTTTTAATTATCATAAAAATATATTCTACCAGCCATGTAAGGGTCATGTAAGATAATAATAAAAGTGGTGACATTATACTTAACTATCTAAAAGCAAATATGTGCCCAAAGTTGGATGACAAGGGAAAATATACCAAAAAAGAATTTGACGAAGTGTAAATGTAACCCTTTTCTAATAAAATTAAGGGCAACTATGACCCTTTTCCGTAACATAAATACCATATCTGCCTTGTCACAGTGTATATTTACTAAGTAGGCGTTTGGCCATGCGATACCATATCACGATATGGTATCGTGAGATGGAATCAGCATTTAGACATGCGATTTTATGCTGATTCCATCTCATGAGATGTGATTCCATATTCTCCAAAAACCATGATATGAAATTATATGGGAATTCCATATCATGATTTGAGATACTACAAAAATTGATCTACGAGTTTATATTTTGTTAAAAGAACCCCACATTTATACCTGCTAACCATTTATTTCATATGTAAATAAAATTTATAATCACATCATTACTTTTTAAAATTTATTATTCTCACCGATATAAAATTTATTATTCTCCAACAAATGGCTCAAAGTAACAATGTTGGTTCGTCTTCTCGGTCACATGATCGAGAAATGCATGTTCAACTTGAGGAAATTATCCGTACTATGTGGGAGGATTATATTAAAGACTAGTACACTGCAATTTATGTCCAATTTTTTTATATTAGTAAATTAAAGTTAGATGAAATAATTACTTAAGTGGAGAACAAATAGCTTTGTAATAATTTATTATGCGATATTATAAATTTTTGTTTATTTGATAAGATTGAATAAACAATTGGGGTTATTTTAATAGTTTTACAACTTATGAGATTTTTATGTTTATGAGAAAATCTACAACACAAAAATTTCATATCGCATGTCCAAACAAAACTTCAATTTCATCTCATGATTTTATATCATGATTCCATATCTCATGGCCAAAAGGGCCCTAGGAAGGGAAAACTTTTTTTCCTTATTTCTTGATTCTTAAATATCTATCCATTAATATCAATTCATATAGTTTGATATACATGTATGAAGAATAATTTATACAGGTATACACATTTTGAAGGAAAAATCAACACATGTATATTGTATATCATTCTTAAATTCTATAAAAGAACTGATATATAATCAGCTATAAAATTTTTATAATATATACACTATGATATACAAGGATAACTTATGCAACATAAAAATCAGTCCATATGTATCGTGCTAAAATTTGTTAAATAAGTAACATATTGTAGCAACCAGTACATAAAAATATGAAGAGAGGGGATAACTTTGTCGCGGATCTTTCTTTGCTTTACTTCACTGATCGTCCATATAGAAATTCAAAAATCGGTGACTGTTGAAAAATCCCCCAAACATGGTATCGCTAAAGAAAGTAGAGAAAATAATAATGATAATCTATAAGAACAAGATTTTTCTAGTAGAAGGGAGAACGGTTAGTTATCTAATTTTTTTAAAAAAAGAAAAACTATATAATGCCAAATATTTAAAAGAAATTTTTTATTGAGGCTATCAAATGCCAAAACGTAAACGTAAACTATTTTGTGCCAAATTTCAAGTCACATTATATTACCACGCCAAAAAAATCAAGAATTTTGTCTTATTTCTCATTTGGTATAGTGGTTTTGGAATGCCATAAGATTTAAAATGTTAATTTGCTCGAGAAGATAATTTGACATAGAGACATATATATAATCATATCAATTTAAAGTTCGAATTCTTAGATGTTGTAAAAGTTAGTCTTTTGCATATATTTTAAGAAAAATAGGTTTTTCGGCATGTGTATTGTACATGTATGTGGAGTTAAGTAGTATAAAGTTATGTAAATTAATAATAATATTTTAAAAATATTTTTTGTAAGTAATTATACATCAAGAATAAAGTGCAGGTTTTTATGAATTGTTAACGTAGATGTTTCAACGATAACTTGTCAATTGAGATTAAAATGATTTAAGATTATCTTAATTTATGAAGAAAAATTATCAAAATTTAAATTTAGGTACATATTATATTCAAGTAGTATACAATTTTATAAATTAATATTACTATTTAAAAAAAAAATAATCAAAGAATTCTAAATTATAATATAATATTAAATTATATTTAACTTGTTTATGAAGAAAAAATATCAAAATTTAAATTTAGGTACATATTATATTCAAGTAGTATACAATTTTATAAATTAATATTAATATTTAATTATTATTTTTTTGATCAAGTGATTATAAATGAAACAAATGAAGTGCAAATTTTTGTGAATGGTTAATGTGGATGGTTGAATGATGACTTGTTTATCAATGTCAATATAATATTAAATTATATTTAACTTGTTTATGAAGAAAAAATATCAAAATTTAAATTTAGGTACATATTATATTCAAGTAGTATACAATTTTATAAATTAATATTAATATTTAATTATTATTTTTTTGATCAAGTGATTATAAATGAAACAAATGAAGTGCAAATTTTTGTGAATGGTTAATGTGGATGGTTGAATGATGACTTTCTCTTCTCTGATGTGCGCTATATTATTGTGTCCTATTCCTTAAGGAGTGATCCGGGATTAAGCCACGTGGCGATACCCGCCAAAAGAAAGGGGGCCTTGAGTACTCAAATGCGTACGAGGAAAGGACAATTATTCAGCGCACTTAAATCTAGTGGATGGGGTTCCATATTCATGAAAAGCCAGGTTTGAACCATGTTACGGAACCAAGACAACCTATCTTACTAATAATAAGAAAGGGTTAAGGGCCTCCAACGCCTATAAATAGAAGCTTCTTTCTCTATTTGGCAAAGCAAAGGGAGATATGGATCCAGCTACCACTGAAAAGACTTTCTCAAATTAATCAAAGAATTCTAAATTATAATATAATATTAAATTATATTTAACTTGAAAAGATGGATTATCAATAATATAATTATGCACATATTATTTTTTATATTATTTGATTTTGCTTTAGTTTTAAAATTTTATAATAATATTGTTTGCAATAAATTTTAAAGTAATTGAAAAATAAATTACAATTACAAATAAAATATGAAGAAATATAATTTCTTTGATAAAACAATGTGAATACAGAGTACAAATCTGTTTGTTCTCCTTATGAATATCCAAAGAGTTCACGGGATATTCGAGATCCTTATCTTATGAATAAACAAATGTTTATGGAATACTTTGAGATTTCTTTGAGAAAAACAATATTTAATGTCTTCATGATTTCTTTGTGAATACAAAAAAATTATGAAGTATTCGAGATTTCTTTGAGAAATAGAGTACAATATTTGATGTCTTCATTATCTCTTTGTGAATACTGAAGAGTTATGGGATATTCTCGATAACTTTTCAAAGAAATATATGACCTTTCATATATGCATAAATTAAAAATTAGGGTGAATTAGCCTCCAAAAATGTTAACTGAAATTATACACACTTATAGAGTCTCAAATGAGGTTGAACACATTCTGTAGAGTCCCACAATTTTTTTTTATCTCTACGGATATATCTTTAGCTAGCAAAAAAAAATTGTGCATACATAGTTTCATCAATTATTTGCCTAATTTTTTTCTTTCATGGAGTTTAGACATCTTATTGAGGAAAATGTAAATACACTTTTGAATTTGACTGGAATTTATGGTGACAAACTTAATCTTTGTGAGAGACCTATTACCCTCCAAAATATGAAAATTATTTGGATATAAAATTGTTATAATTTTTCAGAATTTGAAAAACTTCAAAAAAAAAAAATCTATCTTCACAATATTCACTCTGATTTATCCATAAGATTCAAAAATATAGTCTAACTAGTATTCATATCCAAATACAACTCTATTTAACAATTATTATAATACTATTTGTTTCTCAAATTTTTACGATAATTTTACGATTTCAAAGGTCAAAAAACTTTTTGATAAACTTGAAAAACTAAGTTTGAAGATGTACAATTAGTTCCAGCATTTCAGCTTTAACGCAGAGCAGAAATAGACACTGCGAAGACTTATTTCTATTACTGGAAATTTTCCGTGATCCGACACACATTACCTACCAATATTATATTTGTTTCAAAGTAGAAACATAATATTAATAATAATTTTAAAAAAGATCGATTACAAATTTAATAATTACGCTCAGGACAAAATATTTCTAAAACTATGATACAACTACTAGCATCTCAGTATAGATTTTTAATTTGATTTGATATTTTAATAAATGATTTGTGCTTCTCCGATCAAAATTTATGTAACACTTTTTAACTTTTTGAGATTTAAACTATATCAATTTATTTAAAGAAGAAACGAACAGTTCCAAAACTCAAGAATCTTTCTCGGTAAATAAACATTTGTATAATTTTCTTGGATATAATTTGGAAAAAGTTTTACGTAAATT